AACAATTGGGTGGTTGATTTAGATATGGACATGGTTTCCATACGGCCAGCCCGCATATTGTAAAAATGCAGGCTTGGCAATAAATATATTTTTAAATATAATTTGATCTTAATTTTTAGAGAATATATAGTCTTTAACATAGAGATCATGAATATGAAAAAAAAAAAAAAATAGAAATAATAATTCTATTAAAAAAAATTTGGACAGTCAGTTTTAATTGTTTTTAGATGGACCACCTATTTGCATTCATCTTTAAGATGGATGCTTTATACCTCTAGACCGCATATTGTAGAAATGCGATCCAGCCCGTATGAAACAATTTTCCTCTAGATATAGGCAACTCTGAAATCACTTGTCTCCCTAGTTTTTGAGATAGTTTTTTTTATTTTTTATATCTGTCCACTGATCTGAATCGAGAATCGCATGCTTTGAACTTGGTGAACCTAAATAGGAGTTTTGTTTTATGAAACACTGAATGATGTTGTGCTCATGGTACCCAACAGCAACTACAACAGTCATTCCAACAGGTAATGAAAGATGAACATGTACTACAGTAACAATATATTGCCTCGGTGTTTTCAGGCAAAATGGCATTGTAAAACTAATAAAATCAAGGAAAAATCATGTATATTTTGGGCAATTTTACATGAAAGCCCATCTTTTTTGCAATTTTTTATTTCAATTTTACACCGGCTTAATATTGTTAACAACGGATGAATTTTTTTTATTTTAAAATTTTTTGGAGTTTTTAGCGTGAACAAGATATCAGATGGACCACTTTTCCAATATTAAAACATCTAACTGCGTCATGGTTGAAATTTTTAATGAATAAACCTATTGGATGTCTCTAACATTTGATCACATTAAAAATAAAGAAAAATTGAACAATCTGATATCTCTAACGTCAGACTGGCATGTATTTTATTTTTTCAGACATCGCAATGATGATATACGGGTTGTTATGGGTCATGTTGTTTGATGCCGGTTATGATGAGCATGTTATTGTGCGTCATGTTGCTGTTACATATTGGAAACACGCTCTTTATTTAGTTGATGCAGCCATTGGTTATTAGACGATGGTTATTAAGATCTGTCCAGTGTTTGAGATATTAGATTGATTTTTTATTTTTCATCCGATGTTGGAGAATGGAAATAGTCCATATGTAAAATAATTTTAAATATTGGTGCTTGATGTTTCTAATATCGGATCACCACTGAAATATGTCAATCCAAAATTTAGGGGATCAGACTATCAAGAAGCTATAAAAATAAAAATAATATTTGTAACATCATATATAAGCAATTGAAATATTAAAAAATAAGAACAAGGGGGACCTCCATGTAAAATTGTTCAAAATATAAAATCAAGCCATTGCAAATCAAATTCATGCAACTCTACCTATTCTTCCAATGCGAATCGGGAGCATCGAAATGTAAAGTCCCAAAGAACCCATAAAAGTACGCGCACAATCCTATGAATCTATGGAACCAATGCATTGATTTGGGAATGCAAAAACCAGAACTATCAAAATCAGTATTTGTGCTCCTACTCTTGAATGATGGAATAAAAAATATAAAAAAGAACGTATCTCCCCTATGTGTGGTTTTTGGAAATCACATTGTAGAATTAGGAACTTGAAAAGACTGCCCCCAACAAGGCGATGCTTCCTCTTAAGACTTATCTCCCTCTTTGATATCATTATGTTGACCCAATTCCTTTCTTGCTCATCAAGAAAGCTTCTTTTTTTTTTTTTCTTTTTACCTCATAAGAAAATACCTTTAATTCTTTGAAAGAGCATGGTTCTAGTGTTTAAAATTTCATCTATACAAATTGTTTAAAAAAAACAAAGAAGCACCCCTTTCTATATGAAACTAAATAGGAAATGAAATATTGTAACGGTCAAGATTTGAAAACCACTAGAGACGAATAACAGTTGATACCAAATTTCAGAAACCGAGAAATGGCAGACAACATAAAAAATGGACAAGGAGAAAGGTCAGAGAATAATAAAAAATCAATTCAGTTGTGAAATGTATTCTTATGGTGAAGGTAGTTTGCTATCTCGAGGAAAGTAAAATAATATTTCTTGATAAAATAGGAACCTAATATATCAACTTGTAAATAAAAATAAGATAAAAACAAATTGCAGTTGGTACATGTGAGAGTCAAAGTAAACCCAGAAGAAGACACCTCCCCTGGATTCCCCCCATAAAATTCTTATACTCGTACTTCATTATCTAATACAAAGTAGGATGCCTCTTCCACTAATATCTTACATGGAATCTTTACATCATTGAAGTTTGAAAGTATATTAATTGCCCGCTAGGAGAGAGAGAAATTTGTAAGGGGTGAGGTTTGTATAAAGTGCCCATTTTATGTTGTGCAAAATAAGATGCACCTCTAAATTTTGTCAAGACCCGGACCCAATAAGTTTAAATTGAACGTACCCATACCGGTACCCGACAGATAATTTTCGACCTGGGACCCATACCCGTACCAAGCCCCAAATCATCTCTCTCTCCCCCAATGCAGCCATTTTCCTCTCTCTCTCTTGGTCCAACTACTTCCTCTCTCTCCAACTACTTCCTCTCTCTTTGTTCAGCCACTTTCATCTCTCTCTCTCATTTGTTCATTCTCTCTCTCTCTCCCCTCATCTCACTCTTCGAGGCATCTCATGCGACTAAACACCATGAAGGTTTTGCGATCGGGAACCATTACAGAAGCCGCTATAAAAGAACCTAAGAACCCTAAGATTGAACCAATGATGCCTGCCCAACCTGATCAGAAGCTCCGACCCCATGCCACATCCCCTTTTTCTATTTTTGAATCAGTGTTAAGGCTTGGTATTAGTCCTATCAAAAATTGTGCAATGAGTGGCCCTTTCTTGCAGAGTTCAAGGAGGAACTTAGGGTCAGGGTTTGGTTCAAATGTTGGCCCTGATGAAGAGAAAGGTGATACGAGCTTCAAATAGAGAGAGGGACCCTCATGTTGTGAAACCCCTTTTTGTTTTGAAACCTTAGGTCTTTTTCCTGGCTTTGAAACTATTGATATATCTCTCTCAGGACCCTCACGTCCTCTCTCTCATCTTTTTTCTTAAAATGACAGGGAAAACTAATGGGTTTGGGTAAAATACAAATACTAAAACAAAATTTCGAACTCACAGGTCTCGGATTGGGTACGGGGCGGATCTATTAGTACCCAGACCCGTACCCAAAACCTAGACCCGACCAACAGGTCCAAATGTTGGACCCATACCCAGAACCATATTGGTTATACCCATTGGGTCCCAGGTTGGGTCCGGATTCATTGCCACCCTTAGCCCTAACTGTGCTAGGCCAAGGCTTGTTTAGGGCTGGGGCAGGCTAGGGCAGCCGCATGCTAGGGATGGGGTAAGGGTAAGGCTAGCTTGGGCGAGACCCGGTGCTAGCCTTAAATGAGACAGAGAGAGGGAATTTTGTGAAAATCTTGAGGGATGTGAAGTTAGCTAAGGGAAATGAGGAAATTTCCCAAAGTCCATGTGAAGGGAGGAAGAGGAGCACGTGTAATGTGCAGGCCCCCGGTACTCAAAAATATAATATGTCCCAATCTCGGTCCACCATCTCAATCTGTCCCTTTCCCCCCTGCACTCAATTTGTCCCAATCTCGGTCCCTTTCCACTTTGATTTTCTATGTTTGGGCTCTTATTTTTTCAATGCCTGTCCGGGTTTTGTCAATGACTCATTTAAATAACGTGTACTTCGTCCTCACCAACTTCCACGATTTTTTGTTCTCATCTCATATTTAATGCCCTTCCAAAGAAGGAGCGTTTGTAGAATAGTCCCAATGCACCATACTGTACAATAATCTCTTCGGTGAAAGAGCTACTCAATATATAAAATTTGGAGATAAACTTAAAATTCACTAGTTGATGTTTTCAAAGGAAAATTTTTGTTATCTATTAGTTGAATCTAGAGCCAGAATCTTTAATACAAGGAGATCAAAATCAATCCTCATCACATGTGAAATTTGACAACTTAAGGATATGTGATGGGCCTCTAAAAATTTTCTTTTGATCATTGAGCTTAGTCAATGACACACTCTTAGACATCCCAATTGACATCCAATGACCGGTAGTTACTAGGACCTCTTTATACCAAAAATAAATAGTAGTATTCTAAATTTTTCAATTTAAATATTGACGCCATTCCTTGAGAAGAAAAAAAAGTGAATATATACCCTTTCCACCAAAACATAAAATGGTACTATCTCTAAAGGAAATAGTTCCTATAAGGCTTAGGTTTGATGAAAATAAAGTAAAGCCTCACCTCGAGTCCTGTTAAGAAAGTATTTTGGGGATCACAAATCTCTATTGATGGATTTAAAATCAAATTTGAATGTCGATTATGAGATTTGAAGGTCAAAAAATGATGCCGATCTTGTTGATCCATGAATAACTATTTTAGGATTAGGTTTTGAAATCCCAATTTATTTTCACAACCAGCCAAGGCCATTTTGAAGTGGGACTTTACTTATTTTAAAAGGGCTGCAGCCCTATAAAAAAGATCTTTCCCTCTCTAAAAGTGGGTCATCAATTTTAATTTAAAAAGTGCTTCTCTCTTGCTTGTACTTTTCTACAATGAATGAAAAGAGGGCTACCAAGGCTCACGTTTTGTGATTGCATTCCAGATAAATATTACCCGTCTATGACGACTTGGAGCGTACGAAAGATAATTTTTTGTGTTAAATAGGAAAATATAGAAATAGAATATTTTTTTTAGTATAAGGCGGTCACAATTTATTTTGGTCGTTGAATGTGAAATTGGGTGGTTACATTCATTCCATTAATCAAGCTCTACCTACAAAAAGAAATTTTTTCTAATATCAAGGATATGCTGAAGTTATCAAATGTAGATGATTGTAAATAATTGTGACCTTTTTGTATTAATGATAAATAGTATCAAGGCCGTTAGAAATCTAATAGCTCTAATGTATCATAACATCCAAAAACTTTTTGCTTTTTGTAGTTTGAGCTTGAGTAATAGAGTAAATGCATCTATTTTTAGCTGCTTCACATCCAACAGTGCATATTATTTAGGACCACTTTATGCAAAAAATTCTTAAATTTAATTGATTATTTCACAAGGCACGAACGATCTTACTCGGCTGGCTTTTGAATGCCATTGCCGCGGGTCCGTCAACCTCTACTTTTTTTTTTTTGTTCAGTGCTACATTTTATTTCTCCTTTTTTTTCCTAGTCTCTCTGCCATAGCCAGGACTTCTATGGATTTGAGTCAGCAGAAAGTGGGGTGCATCTTTCCCTCTCTAAGCTTCAAGGTTTTTTCATTGAATTCAGGTATTTGGGTTCTCTGATGTAGTGAGAGAAACAAACCTCTTATTAGTTGCAGGCGAGTTGAGGCATGAGATCTTCGAACTTGGGTTTTGTTGGGTGCTTCAAAATGGGATTCAAATGCTGGTGCAGATGGAGAGGGGATCGCCCTTTCTTTGTTTCCTTTGCGTTTTTGTTTTTTCTTTCATCTTTATTTGTCTGTGTAGCACTGGGGTCTCTGTTTGCCTGGTTAACCCTGCCTCCCTTTGAGAGGCTTTCTTCGAGTTCCTCGGGTTGTCGCATGGACGACGAAGGCTTGTGGTCGATTGGTATTTTTTATGGAAAGACTCCTTTCTCTCTCCAACCAATTGAATTGGTATTAACACTAATCCATTTCTCCATTTGATTGTGTTTGTCTCCCCCACTTGTGAATTTTCTTGGTTTCTTAGCATGTTTCTGTTCGAAACTTGAGCAGAGTAATGTTCAGAAGGATGGAAGCTCGGCATGGCCTGTTGCGAACCCTGTTGTTACCTGTGCCTTGCCCTCTGATGCTGGCTTTCCTGTCAACTTTGTTGCGGATCCTTTTCTTTTTATTCAGGTTTCTTTCTCAGTTATTCGTTTTCTTTCCCTGGGTTGCTTTGTACGTATATGCGATTTTTTTTGCACTTTGTATATTTTGAATCTTGTCTCTTTTTCTTCATCCTCTTTTTGTTTTTTCATTCTTGCATGTTTGGTTCTCCTTAGATGCTGTCAACGGCTTCTTCACACTTTGCATTATCAGTTTTGATTAGGATTGGTTTAACGCATTTTATTTACTGCATGAGAGATTCTGAATCTATCGCAGTTCTTAGCTTGGCTTTTCTGGGATCTGTTCTGTATGGCCTTTTGGTCTTTCGTTCCCGATTATGGCTCGCTCTGTGCTTATGTACTCCTCTCGTTGGGTGTTAGTTTGGCTTCCCCTTCGTTGCATCTCAACTAGTTTGAATCTGTTGTATCCGACACCTCTGTCCTGTACTCTGAAATATGGTCCTATTACACACACTAGTGATTTTGTTTGCTCATTGCTCTTTATTTGACATGCAGTCCTCAAATTGCCAATATGATGACATGATGGTAAATAAAAATTAAATGTGAAACAGATAGGTATAATTTATTTTCACCTTGTATATGGGTGCGGTTTGTGTAAGGTTGCAACTGTTTCCTTAATATATACAACAGAGATGTATTATGATTAGTAAAAATGTATTACTACTAAAATTGTTTGTTGTTATAAATAATTAGTTTTAAGAAAATTGTATATATTATGTAGTGTGATTTATCTTTTAAGTTTTGAAATGATGCCATCTTTTGGATTTTAGTCTGTCCTCTTCAATAGAGTGAGGGTTGTGCAGAAATTAGTGAGGGTTACACATATTTCATCTGGAAGTGCTCATAACTTTAAGATATCCTGCAGTTGCATCATTGAACCCCTATATCCGAGTCATTTATGAAGAGTCCAGCAAATGTGCATAAACATGGTAATTAAATCCAAATCCAAAAATGAGAACTAAATATCTAGCCAGATTAAGACCATGAACATCACTTGATATACCTTTTTGAAACTTGATTTATGGAGATTCATGATTCTAGGACTGAAGAAGGCTTTTGGGAACTAAGGACAGGAATTACAAGATTTAAGTTCCACTGGAAAATGCATGGGTGAAAAGCTGAAGGATGCGGGCTAATTTTTAAATTAATAATTGGTAAATGTAGGGATCAGTTGGATGGTCTTGTGTTTCTAAAGCCATGGGGTGCATCTGGGGGTCATGGGCCTAAACGTTGGGTTGTTAGAAGTGGCGCTTTAGCCTCTGGATTGGGAGAATTCTACTTTGGACTGCAGGGTTCCTCTTGTATTGATTATTTATCTTGGTGTCTTGCATATCTTGCAAAAAAGCATCGGAGAATAAGAGACTAGGATCAAGGAGAAATGGGCCTTTCTTGACATTTCTAATCCTTTGGGGGTAATCTTATTTTGTGCCCTAAGTTGTGAATAAACAAGTGGGAATGCAAATTGCAAAAACAGGTCCGGAATGAAACTTGGGATGACTTTGGTATGCTGGATGCAATGGTGAAGAAGAAAGGGCTGTCATGAGATCTCTATGGGCTAGAGTTTCAGGATGCAATTGTGAGGAAGAAAGGGCTGTCATGAGATCTCTATTGGATAGAGCTTCAAGAGGATGGTCGACTGTGACAGAGGGAACAGCGGAGGTGGTGTGGGTGAAGCATCACTATCAGGAAGTGGTGACTGGACTTTGGTTTCCATTCCTTCCCATAAATAGGATCTTCCTATCTGGAAAAACAATGTGGGATAGTTTTTTGATTGTTAAATATTGTGGGATATTTCTGTCAGCATGGGGATGTTGTTATCAATGCCAATTCTCTGAATGCAAAGCATGCTTGTGTTTTGTCAAGGGAAACACATTAGGGTGTATATTGTTTGAATAATGGGGTTGTTTAGTATGGGATTAGATATGTTCAATCATAAGGGTATGGCAGGTTGACTTGCTCTTGCTAGACGGGATGTATTGGGTTTATAGAGGGGTTTTTTGAGAAAGCTTTTATATGGAACACAATCGTGTAATTCCTGTCTATGTCCTTGGGAGGATGTGAAATTAAGGACTATCATGGGACAGGGTATAATGGGGGTTCTCAAGGAAGCTTTTTTTGGGGAGCATACCCTGTTCACACATTATGGGATGGGTACAATGGCTTCGACAATTTCTTATTTTACATGCATTAGAGAGGTGTGTGGGTGATAAATTAAATTGCACCTCCTAATGGTCTCCATTGGAGTTACCCAAAACAAATGGTCTCCATTGCCAATGAAGGAAAGAAAAAAAAGTTAAAGAACACAAGTAGAAGTATCAAAGATAACTTTATTTCATTGTAGAATCCTCTTTGTGGAACGAGCATTGATGATTTTATTTGGGTCCTCAGTGCATTCTGTTCTAGTAATCTGTTTGGGAGACCCAATTCAGGGTGTTTATTTCGTCCAAAAGAAAGTGGAAACCTCTTGATTCAGTCCTAATAATTCCTTACATGGTAGCATCAGAAGTTGGGAGAGTCTGCAGTCTAGTAGATAGCTGATAACCTATAAAAATAAGAGCTGCTTATTATTTCTGTGGGTTCCATGGGCTAGAATCTTTGAACTTGAGAGATTCCATTTGCTTGAACTAGTTGAAGAAACTTAGCCTTTGAAGCTAGAAGCATTCTTTGTGTTGAACATGTGATTCCACTATAATATTCACATCTTTATACAAGTGGATAAATGTGATCTGTTTTGTTTTTTTGGTCGCCAAGTGGTAAATTTGATATCCTATTCATGGTATTTTCTCTTAACCATTGACACACAAGTAGAGGATTGTTGTTATACCAGGCGATCTCCCTTGCATATCGGGTGCTATGGGTGCTGGTCTTGTGACTTGTGTTGAAAGGTTCTGTAATGATGCAAGCATTCATGGAAGTGGTGTAATGTTGCCTCCATTAGAAATCCACATGGAGAGTTAGCTACATCGGAGGAATGTTAGTTCTGTCATTATTCTTATGTTTGTTAAGAAAGACTAGTTCCATTGAAGCATCTCTTCTCACTTAAAAAGAATTCTTTGTTTCGTGTTGGGACGCTTCATAGGAGACACTTTTATGTTCTTTAGTGTTAGTGTTGTGGAAGAGGTTCTGCATGGCTTGATAGGTGATGTCGTGGTACTTTGATATTTGTGATATAGAAGTACTAGAGTGTCAACTGGGCATGTTTGCAATGTTGCCTTCAATGATATTGCTGTTCTTGTGTGCAGTGGCACCCCACTTAGAAGGCTATTCTTATTGCGATTGGTATGGGTCCTTTGAAGTGACCGAATTGTGCCATTGTATTAAGGATACTTTTGTAAGGTAGTTAAAACATACAACAACAACATATGGGAGAGAGGAGAGAGAATGATGGCAAAAAAATCTAAGTAGAAAAAGTAGGAGGTTTAGAAGGAGAGGGAGAGTCACATTGAGAGAAGGATGGGAGAGAGGTTGTCACGTTGGGTTCATCTGATCCACATGCCCCTCTCTTCGATAATATCATCATCATTTTAGCCTTTTCCCATTTAATTGGGTTCTGCTACATTAATCCTGGTTTTCCATTTTTCTTTATTAAAGGGCATGTCCTTAGTGAGGCCATAAATCCCTATATCTTTTTAGACTATTTCAAACCACGTTCTTTTTGGCCTACCCCTTGCCCTTTTCAGTTCTTCCACTTGAACTAACTCGCACCTCCTAACAGGTGCTGTACTTAGCCAACGCCACATATGGCCACCCCACCTAAGTTTACTGTCTCTCATTATCTTGCCTATTGGTGCCATGCCTAAATTCTCTCGAATAGATTCATTTCAAATTCTATCCCTTCTTGTCTTGCTACTCATTCATCTCAACATCCTCATCTCCGCTACATTCATTCTGTGGGTATATTGTTTTTTGTTCGCCTGACATTCCGCCCTATAAAGCAAAGCTGGTCTTACCGCTGTCTTATAGAATTTTCCCTTCAGCCTCTTTGGTATGTGGCGATCACATAAAATTCCAGTTGCACATCTCCACTTCGCGCACCTAGCTCATTTTGTGTGTGACATCTTTGATCTCTCTATTTTCCTGAATTATCGACTCAAGATTTCGAAAATGCGGTCTTTTTTGTACTTCCTGGCCTTCAATCTTTACTACTTCCATATCTCTACTCCTATTATTATTAAATTTGCACTCCATAAAACCTTTGAATTCTAGAGCATCCCTCCAAAGTTCTAACTTTGTGCTGACGCCGTTTCGGGTTTCATTAATCAAAACTGTCATCTGCGAACAACATGCACCACGGTACCTCATCTTGTAGATGCTTAGTTAAGTTGTCCATAACTAAGACAAAGAGGTACAGGCTCAATGCTGACCCTTGATGTAGACCTATTGTCACTGAAAACTCACTCGTCTCTCCACAAGTTGTTCGTACACTAGTTACTGCTCTATTGTACATATCTCTCACCAACTCGATGTAGTGCCTAGAGACGCTTTTTTTTTCCAACACCCGCCAAATCAAATCTCGAGGTACTCTATCATAAGCTTTCTCTAGTGTGGAGGTCTTTTCCCTTCGCCCTAAACTTCTCAATCAGTTGCCTAAGTAGGAAAATCGCCTCAGTTGTTGACCTTCTTGGCATAAATCCAAATTGGTTTTCATAGACACTTGTTTCATGCCTTAGTCGTTGCTCAATGATTCTCTCCCAGAGCGTTATAGTATGGCTCATAAGCTTGATCCCTCGATAGTTTGCACAATTCTGTATGTCTCCGTTGTTCTTGTAAATATGTACCACAATACTTTCCTCTCTTCCATAATATATATTACTAAATTCTATTATTGTACAATAATGCCTTTAAGTAAGGAAAAAACAAATAAATCCTCTAGGATTTGAATACAGTAGAATAAAGGGCATAGATATCAATCATTCCCAGCTTGCTTAAGATCTTTTGAAGTCGAGGTTTTCTAATGACCTTGGTAAGAATGTCTGCTAGTTGGTCCACTGTTTTGACATATGGAAGGTA